AACGAATGAAAATGGACGACTGTTTCTTATCCTACGTACGAGCCTTTGGTCTGTTATCGAATCAATATGCTCTCAAAATTATGCATTATATGAATACTGGGAAAGAGTTCCTTCCGTGCCCCCAACCCTAAACCTAACTCTAAACCTAACCCTACCTTAACCCAATTTTTTGGACTTTTAGTCATTTTGTGAGTTCTCTATTGTTGTTAAGTTTTGTTAATAATTTTAGTATATTTATAAATATTATTTGGGATGGGGAACGGAAGGAACTCTTACCGAATACTGCTATTTAAAGAAACATTGTTTACATGTCTGTGTCCTAGTTAGCTACTGCCTCGTCAGTGCCTTGTCAACAGAAGTGAGCTACAGAGGAAAACCACAATAAGTGCTCGCAGATCGTCAATTTGTTGTCCAGTGAACAGGTTGGGGACACCAACCTATCAGCCTGTAATAGGCCAAACGGGATATTATAGGCCGTTCTGCCTATTTTGCTATATGCCGATCAGGCTATATTTGAACACTTTTCTAATTATTTCACAAACTATCAGTTACCGCACGAAATGGTTTGATATGATCATAGAGATTAATAGTTAATGGACCTCCACAGTTTGAAAAAAGACGTTTTTGGACAAAATGGAAATTAATATCATGTTCAGCAAAAGACGTGTTATTAAGAACACAATTTTTCATTGATTTTCCTTTTGAAAACTAAACCTGAATATCTATGTCATTAATTTTCACTGAAATTGTGAAAAATATTATAGACTTTTATTTGATTAGCAATTTCCAAACTCCTTTATCATGTGATGAAAATTCTCAAAAGGGTTTGAATTAATACCTTCAGACATCAAAACTTCAATGATGTTAATATCCTCATGCGGAAATGCACCACTTCAAATTTATTTGATAGATACCATAATTATAGACCGATCGGCCTATAGCAAAATAGGCAGAATGGCCTATAATATCCCGTTTGGCCTATTACAGGCTGATCGGTAGGTTTCCCCAACCTGATTAACAGTACACCAAACTAGTTGAACTACTCGCGACATTTTCCGGAAAGAAGAGTGAATATATATATAGTTTACGACATTCTAAGCAATATTCCAGCTATATCATGGCGGGGAACACGGAATTAGCTTCACACATTGTATAAGCCTATGTGGGGAATCGAACCCGAGTCTTCGGCATGATGAACGGACGCTCTAACCATTAGGCTATCTCAATGCCCCTGAATCTAATTCTGTAAAGCGAACAATGGCAGCAACAGGTTTTATTAACAGACTAGTTTATAAACACAAGCAAAATTTGGCTTCTGATTATACATAAAAAAGATGTAATGCATTGACGACGAAGATGCTGGAAATTAAGCATGTAAATACACGACTAAATGTTTATAGTTCTCTACAGTATTGTTTACACTTCTTTCAACTTTACTGGTTCAACAGTTGGTATCGTTCACACACTGAACACAAGTATACATACTGGATTAAACATTCATAACAAACATTAAACATGCTGGTTGATTACGCGGTGGCAGTTCTTTTACGTGCGCATCGATTTGGAGTCTGCCACAGTCCACGACTGCACTGGCGCAGTGACGGTGGATGCAATAAGTTTGGTGAATTTAAATGATAAACAAAAATCCCCCTGCAAACACGCTAAGCAGAAACAACAACGACTTACCTTTCTCATAAATATGATTCATGTCGATCTTTATCATGTGACGCTTCACTTGTCCATTCGCGTGGTCGTCTGCCCAGCTGTCATGTGCACGTGCGTGCACGATATCTCGTTGTCTTAATTTGTCACGTGGTCTCTTATAGAAAATCTCGAACCAAACCTCGTAATAACAGCATGTGAATGCATGGAATAGAAATGGATGACTGGAATGTTTTGAGTTGACAAAATATTACCTTCCTCAAGATTAATGTTCCATGTAAAATCCGTTCGTAACTTATACAAATGTCAAAAGTGAGATACCGTTTGTCACTCGAGATTAACAGATGAAGAAAATGAGTGAGTGAGTTGGGTTTTAACATCGCTTGGAACATTACTTGGGTTATTTCACGAAAAGTAAGCTTGATCAGGGAGAAAAGCCTCAAGTTACGTTGGTCATGGCCGTCTACAGCTACCACTAGCATGGGTTTGGTGCTTCTAAATATGGAAATCGAGATGTACCAAGATTCGAGGCAACGATCATGTGTTTCTGCCTTGCCAGTTCCACAGAGCACATAAAATAGTATCGGGGACACATAATGGGTCCGCATACATCACGTCAGCTCTTAACAGGCTGCATTACGTTATACGTAACCATGTATAGATTCACAGTTGGATTCAGTGAATATCTCAAACTCGTATCTCCACAAAATGCTAAAGTATAGCAAATCTCTGCAGTTTAGGAGTCTGAACACAGTTTTTGCAACAAAACACGATTGTGTTACATTATTTACTATCACCTGGCGTGTTTTCTACATTTCATCATCTTAAATTAAACAAAAGTATTTGATCTTTGGACTATATTAAGTAGACTTCCTTTTTTTCCAAAACACCATCTCCCAATAACCTGTCCTAAAATAATGTTCCTCAACCGACTCCTATATAAAACTACGGAAGCGCTGAAGGGACCTGATCAAATAAAATTTATCTTGAGCGCACGAGTTAGTATATTGAGTGCACAAGTTAATATATTAAGCGCACAAGTTAGTTTTCTTGAGCGAACAGGTTAACATCTTGAGCGCACAAGTTAGTATGTTGATCGCACAAGTTAATATCTTGAGCGCACGAGTTAGTATGTTGAGTGCACAAGTTAATATATTGAGCGGTCAAGTTAGTTATCTTGAGCGGTCAAGTTAGTTATCTTGAGCGCACAAGTTAACATCTTGAGCGCACAAGTTAATATCTTGAGCGCACGAGTTAGTATGTTGAGTGCACAAGTTAATATATTGAGCGTTCAAGTTAGTTATCTTGAGCGCACAAGTTAGTATCTTGAGCGCACAAGTTAATATCTTGAGCGCTCAACTTCGTGTTTAACATCTAATGGCATTAATGGAACGCACATTTGCTTGACTGCTGGCTAAAATGTACAAACTTATATCCTTTTTGGAAGATTTCAAACGATGCAAAGTCGGAATTAACTATAGGTGTTTATGATGAGACTATGTAAAAGTATGCAAATTTATCATGAACATTGATAATGTTTATGATGTAAAAGTTCATCGTCTTTATGCTTGTCAATACTATTCTATGTATCTAATTTTACCACTAATTTTACCACATACAGCAGGCCTAGGTATGTGTAATGTCATAATAAGAATTAAAACATAGACATGAGTAGGAGTTTATTGCAGGGATGAATAGTGGTTTTTATATTGGTACATATTATTATGAACACTAGCGTAAAGCTTGGATAACTTGTTTTGTGCTACGGCTTATTATGTATATATAGTATTACATGACCATGAAAAATGTAAACATTGAGTGTTATGCTTAATTCTCTTAATTATAAAACTAATGTCTGATATTTTGGAAGTAAAGTCGACCAATTTCAGGGAACTATAGTCTGTAGTCTTGGTTTGCATGTATCAGCAATGTTTCCTAACGTGGGTACAATGGCAGTTTAACTCTGTACAATATCATATAAAACCCGCCTGATTTATTTGATCCATTAGTATGTGCACGTATAGCATATATACCGACTTTATTTCTTACTAAAATACCATGTTCCCCGTTTCACTTCCTCCGTTTCAATCCCTTATGTATACGCATGTGTGTTGTAGTTTATTTAACATGTTTTAACAACACATGAAGTTGAAGAATAAACACGTCGATGAAGACGGTGTCTTAAGCGAAATTCAATACCATCCGGGTCCACCAACGACCGTACATTATCCTGTTTCACGATTAAACCGCATTGGATACATTTTTGATGCATCAACGATTGCCATGTCTTTGTTCAGATCGTCGAAGTTGTCCGCAATAGAGTATGTAACATCAGCGGGGCGGTGGGGTAGCCTCGTGGTTAAAGCGTCCGCTCGTCACGCCTGGGTTCGATTCACCACATGGGTACAATGTGTGCAGCCCATTTCTCGTGTTCCCCACCGTGATATTGCTTGAATATTGCTAAAAGCGGTGTAAACCGTACTCACTCACTCACTGTAACATCAGCAAATCTGGTATCTTGTGCGAAAGAGGGACATACACCTCAGAATACGTTTCGAGTGGCGTACTATACTATACCGTGATTTTTTTACAAGAAGATGTGTTATGTGTTTGTATTGGAACCCAAGACTGAAATAAGCATGAATCAGCTCGCGATTCAGCTCCTCCTTGCTTCCACATGAACTGCTTATGGAGTAGTGTATCTCAATATATACTAAGTTGAGCGCTCAACATACTAACGTGTGCGCTCAAGACACTAACTTGTGGGCTCAAGACACTAACTTGTGCGCTCAAAATACTAACTTGTGTCAAGATGTTAACTTGTGCGCTCAATATACTAACTTGTGCACTCAAGATAAATTATATTTCATCAGGTCCCTTCAGCGCTTCCGTATAAAATGGCCAGTCCCTAAGTGAGTGAGTTTAGTTTTACACCACTTTTAGCAATATTCCAGCAATATCACAGTTGGGACCCCAGAAATGGTCTTCACACATTGTACCCATGTTGGGAATCGAACCCAGATCTTCAGCATGAGGAGCGGATGCTTTAACCACTAGTCTACCCTACCGCTCCTCCGCAGTACCTAAGCCACCAATCATCTACCTATGAGTTCATGAACATTCTGTAATGCCTTAATCCCTGTGTCTGTTACTGAAGATCCTTGTGCAGACAAGCAAAGGTCATCACAGCATGGGATTGACCTTAACCATATGAAAGCCATCAAGGATCAAGGCTAAAGATGATTCTGGATAACAACCAGATCCTGACAACAGCTAGGGGAGACAACTAGGATAACAACGACTTTTAAAATCACCAGACAAACGACAGAAGCACATGGTTATGACTGTATATTTTGGTTTACTGAGAAAATATTTAATATCATATTGCTACAATAATTTTACAATTTTTACTAAATCTTTCACTGCAACTGTACAAAACTTCCAATTTATACAAAAATATGTGAACCATTATATATAAAACACCCTTGCATAAGAAATATATACATAGCCTGTCGAGTAAAACTACCATGATATGACTGTTTTATGAACACGTTGCTTTATCACAATAATTGTATGGTTACAACATTTCAAGTCATAATTAAGAATTAAGTACAAAATACAAAGTTCAAGGAAGAATATAATATTATACCAACTGGAAGCTGTGGAAGGCTTGTGTAGGCAATGGCGTTACAAAGTTAAGGAATCGGTAAAACAAAAATACAAAACAAGAGGAAAAACATCAAAGATGGACATCAGCTTGAAGTCTTCAAGAATATCAAAGAAATTTAGTTATCATAATTATTAAGGATAATTCTTTTTGAGCAAACTGAAGACATTTTCAGTCTCAGGCACTTGTAATTTTACAATCATTACAGAAACTAAATACATCATTCAGTTAATCGTAAGGCACATCGTAAATGTGTTACAAGATTTACTGCAGTATCATTTACTATTTACTATCGCACAAAAAATATCAATTTCCAAGTTACTATTCTCTATGCTGTAATGTGCATAAAGGAATGTGCATATCTATCACTGTATCTTCCTAGCATTGCGTGGTGTTAGCCATAGCTGCGTGGAAGATGACTCACAGCCTAACAGGACAAGAACATAAAATATCCATACTGGTAAAATGTCCAACATTCCAAACTAATGACCAACGTTATAAACAACAGAATTACAGAACTTCCACACATACATATTAAAACTGTAATTCTTTCAACATCAGTCACTCAAACAAACTAAAGTCTCATTAAATTACAAAATTCACAGCACAACATGGAGCATTGAAATTGAGGTTGACAGACTGGACACTACAAAGATGTTTGCTCAGGTACCTATTTTTCTACAGCATTATAAATGAGCTTAAAAATGAATGATAATTGGAATGTTCCGTAAGTAATTCATAACCACCTGAGCTTTGACTAAGTCAGTCGAATTGTGACCATCATCACGTAACAAGCGACAGAAATGTGTACAGTAATTCAAGCTTAATGTAATCTTACTTAATAGTTAGTATTTTACCACTGTCATGCAATTACTTATAAATATTTTTATTAAAAAAAAAGATTTAAATAAAGCAAGAATATTCTCTTATATGGACTATTAACGTTTTAATGTTAATTCATCTGTATTGTAATATATTGAATAATTAGAGTACATTCTTGATTACTTTTTATATACAACATTGGAGATATATGAATGCCCACAATTTGAAATAATTACGGAATAAATATCAACACATTTCATTGGCAATTTCTCCCAGAATTCAACAACTGGTTGACGTAAACAACTATGACATATCTATGCAACAGGTAGCAACAGGTGCTTGCTACACAATAACATCAGGTCCTGGGGTTCCGCACCATGCATATTCATTCTGTTAATGTGCCATTTATTTGAGAAAAAAGTTGCACTCTCGGGACACACAATTTTCTTACTTTCATCATCCACTGTTGTGCACATTAGGAACTCTGTAGTGATCTCAGATCAAGGGATGAGCACAAAGAAATTAAACACATAAAACTTAATTGGAGGCAATTGAAATGTATAATACAATTTGCTTCATTATTATGTTATACTTACAACCATAGACTTAAATATATGAACATGAACATATTTTTGTGATTATATGTCAATGTGACTGAAAATACTTAGACAAATATGTTTGTGAGAAACGCACTGAAGCTGATGGCAAACATGCCATGTATACAAGGGTTAAAGGTTTGGCAATGTAGAGTGAAAAAAATAACTGACATCTGTGACTAGTGAGAAGTGGAGGTCACGAGTATTGTGCTGTCAGCAACGGCAGTAACAACACATACAAAGGTATTCCTGCATGAGTGGTACAGACTGTAGCCCAGCTACAGCATTATCTCATGGTCAGCCATGCTTCTATCAATCACAAGACAGGTATTGTGATACCAACATTGATGTAATATCCTACAACAATTCTAAAACATAAAAACGTGTTGATTTTGTAACAGTACTGAATGTTATTGGTATACCTATGAAATTTGTAATGTCAGACATTTTCTATTGTTAAGTTCGGTGACTATGAACTTATGTTACCAGACATGTATACTACAATGAGTCAGTGAGTGAGCATGGTTTCATGCCACTTTTGGATCGGTCATGTTTGCTCCAGGAAAGCACTTAAATGAAAAGGGATTTTTTCCCAGAAAAATCAACTAAACAGATGGTATATTCACACAAAGAGCGTTTTCCGGCCTCATCTTATGTGTGGTTAAGGGAATTGTTGAAATCTGTTCTTGTAATGCTGTGAGTCTGTGGCAAGGTCTACAATATCATATTGTTGTGGAGGAGATACTTCAATAATATCAAATACCCATGTGGGACAAACGGACAAATAAACTGTACATGTAAATCTAGGCACCACTGAGATATAATACAAAGCTCCTTTTTCTTAATGACTACTTATCATGTGTGTTTCAGGTTTTAAAAGATGAGAAATACCAGCGTGAGACAAAAGATAAATGAAATAAAACAAAAAAACAGTAATATAGCATGGTCCGGCAGGTTGGTGTGTTTGCTGTTCCTGACACACTGAGCAACTTTCAAGCTATATGATAGTGGTCTGTATGTAAGCAAGTCTGGACCACACAATCCAGTGATTTAGGTGAGTATTGATCTATGATATGCATGAAAAAGGTTGCTGAGCATGATCCAGGATCACTTTAGTAGCCTTTTATGACAACTAACGGTGTCTGAAAAAGAATTCGAATCCATATCTTCAGGGGCACAGTGCATTTAGAAAGCTGATTTTGTAGTGTGATCTATTGTCAAGACACTGTTATACCTTGACACAAATTACAAAATGAACATTCATATGAAAATATGTTCCATGTTTGAGCATACATTTTGATTGAGTTGTCAGTCACAGCTCCCTTGCCATCAACTTTTGATCATTGGAGTAGGAAAACTAATCAATAAACTGCTTTCAGAATGATTTCTAAAAACATCCTAAAAAGGCATAAAAGGCTGAACCAACATGTAAAACCCGATGACTAGCTACATAAAAATGGCAAATCTCAAAATGGCGAGTTGTTCCCTGTCATGTGCACACATGGCATCAAAACAGGGGACAACGTCAGCGCAACCATTGTCCTCGCAACAGAAATGACATATCACGGATCTGCTCCAGAATACTTTCAAGCATGTAACGGATTAACAGTGACTTACATCAAATTCTGCTACAAATATATTTTTAAATATTTGGAAGAAAAATTATATTATGGTGAGTGAGTGAGTGAGTGAGTGAGTGAGTGAGTGAGTGAGTGAGTAGATGTTGCTTTAAGCCGCATCAGCAATATTGCAGCTAAATGCAGCTTGTGGTACATTTGAATCACTTGAGCTTGGCTTGAAGTCCTTCAGTACTTGGTAATAAAGCTCTGAATTTATGTTTGAGCACCGGCACATTGACACTGACATTTACACTTGCTTGTATATATCACGAGACAACCCACACACACGTATACTGCACTTCATAGTTTACAAACGAAACCTTGCATATGTTAAACTGTCTCCAGTAACCCTCTGACTGTACAAAAATACAAGTCAAAGGATGAGCTGCTGCTGTTTCCAATGGTTGAAACATGGCATCTTGTTCCCAGGAATCTTGGTTTATTTCACAATCAAATCTGAATGCCTTTGAAAAACGTCCATCATGATAATATATCACAATTGTCTATGACTGACACCTGTCAGTCATGTATCACAACACATATGATGACCTTGACCTCTGAATATAGACACGTCATCGCCTCCATTTTAGGGAATCTCCACATTGATGCCCTCATCATCTGTAATGAAAGTGATAAAAATATTTAAATGTCACAGTTTATGTCAGTTTCTACAGAAATAATTGACTGACTGACTGACTGAGTTTGGTTTTACGCCGCTTTTAGCAATATTCCAGCAACATCACGGCGGGGGACAGCAGAAATGGGCTTCACACATTGCAGAAATAATTGAAACAAAACAGGATATAGATCAAACACAAGATGGCAATAGATTGATAAATAAGAGGAATGAACGGAAACGTCACTTTTACCAAGGGGTAAAAACAGAGGCAAAATAAAACTGAAATCACTTTTTTACAAATAACATTTTATCCAGGATTTGGTTCTTTCAAATGTTCTTCAAAACTGTGCATGGATATATACTGAACCAAACAAATTATAGATCATAAATATTTTTTTAGCTATTTTATGCCGTGTAAGATGAGCACAAAATTTCATAAAATATGCTAAAAAATATTCATGATTTATAAAGTCTGTCTTTTAATTTATTTACAAGACATCAAATATTTACTTCATCAAAAACTTATTTGTTAGTAACATGACAAAGAAAGAGAATTTATATATGAGACAGGGTTACAAATTGCAAACTACTAAAGCAAGTAAATATGAACATTTTTAACTTAAACTTTGCTGATATGTAACCAAGAAATGGTTACTTATTAAATTTAAATGTTCAGCAACTTTTATTTATTTATCTAAACTTAGAACCAGTATGGTATCTATCCAAATCATAATGTTCAACATGCGTTCATTCATTCAACCAATTATCCAAACCGTTGCCATTTTATCAAATTGCAGGAATTAACAAAACTAAAAAGCTAACTTATACAAAATCAGTCTAGACAGAAAGCAACGAAACAATAAATGGCAATAATTGCTGAATCAGAAAATCCAAAAGCAGCTTAAGCAGGGATTCAGAAATATAGCCACCGCGAGTTATCTGCCCTTGCAATAACTCACCGCTACGCTCTAGCATTGTCACTCATGCTAAAATTAGAAAAAAACATTCAACTTAATCTGATTGTAGGGACTGAAACTGTCTTCTATCATCAGTTCATTCCAAGCCAATGAAGATGCTGCATATAACTGGCGTGTATGGGAACTGACTTCAGGGTACAGTACAAGATTGAGGTCCTCAACAATTAATCATAATGCTTGAATTCTAAGTCACATATCAGTCAAATAATGACAACTTTTGTGTTTGTTGCCTACGTGTTCATTTCTTCACAGCATACACAATGTAATCATGTTTTGACAACTGTCACACTGAAACTCTTCCAACCATGGCAAAGACTTATCAAGAGTTACATCCCTTTGAATATAATCCCAATTTACTCTTTGAAAGTGAATAAAATATTCAGATAATAGGATGTAGTAATCATTATTCTCCCTGAAGAACCAGCAAATGCTTTCTAAGTCAGAATCATGAAAACAAATTTTCTTATAAAAAAACTGATGATTTTAACAAAATAAAACCAAACTAATAGGAATTATGTTCCTGAAAACAAAAAGAAATTTGAATATTGAAGAAACCATACATTACATCTATCCTCAACTGAACTTGTTACACAATATAAATAGTACAAGGGTTATCTCTGGACCACTCTGGAACCATTTTCATGATTCAGCAAATTAAGCATAAATGCTGATCAATCACTTTTAAGGGCAATCAGTTATTTTTGCGGGTTTCTTCTGGTAAATCATTTGGTTTTACTTAATATTAGCTCCACAGATGTTAAGATCATCAGGGTTTTGCAATTATCTTTCCTTCCCTATGCCACCATGTTGACTAAAGGCTAAAATGAGTCTTTCAATCTTAGGAACTGATCCATGTTGTACAAAGTCATCTTAACACTATGGTGATAGTAACTCCCATACTTCAACATAGCCCTACAGGAGACATGGCAGTAAGGTTAATTTGTACAATGGCACCTCAGTGAAACGAGCATGGTGATATGGCCAAATCTTCAAATATGTGATGATACAACTTTCATAGTTCAACATAAGCACACCCCACATTCTGTATGTACTACACAAGGTCATCTACCTATTGCTTCTCTTCTCAGATCAAATGAAGAAAGTTTACTTATTGCAACTCTTTCACTAATGAATTCAAATGAGAAAATACTTCTGTGCACATGACATTTCTGACTTGTGAATGTTTGCAAAACTTCAAATTCGTGTCCAACAATTCATGCTTGTATCATGCAGTTAATGTTGAAGCTTCCACACCTTCATGCAACATGTACGGGGATCTGTCCCAAGCAGGAATAGCCTCAAAATCACAGTATATCTATACCTGATATATTCTCTCAAAATACGCATTTTGTAAAACTCACATCAATAGAAACTCAAGACAAAATAGAGCAGTGTTCAAAACTTCCTTTCAGAAAACAAATGATTATATATCTCAGATATTTCAAATATAGCATCAAATTAATTAACATGCTTCTTCCTCTTGACCGAATCTACAAGAATGTTTCGGAACCGTGACAGCAAAGAGAAATTAAAATCAAGATCAAGTGAATATTAATAAACAAAAGTGCACCTTGTTATTTCCAGCATTAGCCAACATGTGTAGGTAGTCCAATATTGACAAAGTGAATTTATTTGCTTGAATAAAAAACAGTGGTGATAACGACGGAAATGAGAACAGTGCAACCCTCCAATGAGGACAGGTGTTAGTACAATCTCCCTGGCTCCACGTGATTGGTCGAGAATGTGCGGGTTAATCTCGGGCCAAGCATTTTGCTGTTACCTTCAATAGATAGCTGTGTTGAAAGACTGCTTCTGCTCATGTGACCTACGGCATGATGGGATATATGTGTAGCACGTACAAACTTGCATTAAGTTGTCAGTGTGAATTGTGTGTAAGACATAGAAGATTTAGAAACCAAACAAGATCTTTTTAACAAGGATGGGTTGAAAAATCCATTCGGGAACTAATCTCCAGAAAGGAAAACTTGTGGCTGATGACCGGAATCTGAATGGTTCCATTTCTACACACTCTTGACATTGAGCCAATCAACTCTCACCACTCACATTATTCCAATGGACAATTCAGGGATATATCTAGAACTCATAACATTGCAAACCTTGCAAGAAAACTGGGAACAAAAGTGATTTCTTGTCCATTTTGACATATTTTTTTAAATTCGATGCAATAATATGAAAGTAAGCATTGAAACTTCTTTTCTTTTTGGGGGTTTATGTTATCAGTGAAAAACATTTACCTCTACAAAGCTTTAAAATTAGTTATTAAATATTACATGAAATGGGACACTCCACTCTCAATATGAAAATTTATTCAGATATTTTCATTGACACTGGGGTCAAAATTCAGCCTACAGATTTTAAGTTATTTCATAGGCTAAACAAGTCAATTTAATTATCTTGCAATTTCTTTCTAAAAATCCTGCAGTGATGGACTGGTTATCTCCCTTTACTAGACATTGACTGAATCACGATATACACCTGCTGTATTAGATATATACACTGCTTAGCTAGGTATTTAGTTGGAAATGGAAACTTAATGACATCAAAATTATGCCGTCTTTGAACTCTACCATAACATCTTTGAGTGGTATTCAGAAGTCGGTGTGATGAATAACAGGGAGAGTTCTATGTTTATACAACATCTTTATTATCAATATGAGAAGTTATATATCCATAGAACTCCATCCTGTTGTTCAACTCTACCATAAGGCAGCGAACATCAGCAACCACTGACCAAAATAGACCAATCTCATTAAAACCAGATCTTTGACTGACATGACACCTTCAGGTGGTCGCATATGGTGAACGACAGAATCAGCCATTCAGCATTAATACTTCTAATGGAGAAAGTCCAACAGCTAAACCATAATGCAACACATCTCTATTTGATGGATATTGATATTATCGGTTGATGGTGAATGCCGATGCATCTACATCAAAAAGGGCGTTTAAAGAGCTGTGATAAACATTTTGAAATCAAGGCCATAACAAAATACATCCAAAATGTTTCCAGACCTGATATCCAGTAAGCTAAAACCCCACAAATCGTATATATTTGATTGGAAAGTCAAAGTTGGGTTCAGGGTTCATTTGATGTTATCAGATCTTGACATACTGTATATTACCGTAGATAAGCCAAATTTTGAGGACCAGGGTAAGTGTCATATCCAAGTATAAAATCTAGTTGTAATGAGATTGAAATACACCAGATTATATCATTGTCAGTGGCAAAGACCCATAAGTTAAAGCAGAGATAATAGATGTATCTTAAAGTTAGTAGGGAGAAATAAGACTGCAGATTTGGACCCTCTTCCCACTAAGTCGTGTTAGAATCAGACCTAATCCCCAATGTTACTTGGTTTGAGTTACATAAATGACCAATGAAGAGTGAAATGGACGTACCTTCATATGCGACATTGACATGACCAACGTTGGCGTACGTGGCCTCGTCCTCACGCCCTTCTAACACACACAGCACGCACTCATGAATAAACTTGTATTGTTGCTGAAATAGACATAATAGCATGTGAAGAAAACATGCATCTACGTGGCAGAGAACAAATATCCAGAATTGGTCATTGTCTTTTAGTGCACAGAGATGTTCACAGGTAAAACTAAATACATTCATAATTCACACTGAGCTGACGTGAAAGATGTTAAGAAAAGGTGAGGTGAGGTGGGATGAAATTGGGTTGAAAGTCGTGTGCAAGATTATCACTCTTACAGAGCAACATGCATGCATGTGTCTGTGTTTGTGTGCGTGTGTGTCCATGGTGGCTGTTTTAAAAGTTCTAGGTCACTGTCAGAGTTTCAAATGGAAAGCCGGTCAGAAGCAGTAAACTGACCCTGAACTGTCTGGGACCCATGAAGATCTGGGTAAGAACTGATCTTCAGTAGCTTATGCTCTTCGTAAGAGGCTGGATGACTTGGTTGACACGTCAGTGTATCCAATTGTATAGATCGATGCTCATGCTGTTGATCACTGGATTGTCTGGTCCAGACTAGATTATTTACAGACCGCTGCCACATAGCTGGAATATTGCTGTGTGCGGCGTAAATCTAAACTCACTCACTGAACTATCTGGTGTTTTATGCTCTTAATGTGGAGCACCAGGTGTGGCATAATGTGATTTTTCAGTCTGCGTTAAAGATAAGGATAAGACAAGAACACTCATATTGAAAGGAGTGAGTGAGCTGGGTTTCAGCAATATTCCTACATTGTTCCAGCAGTATGAAGGCGAGGGACATGGTAACCATTTTGAAAATTGAGGCCTTTGGTATGATGAGTGAACACCTTGGCTGTTCCACCTCTTCCCCCAATATAAATATTGAGTTAATGAACCACTGCTTATCATGTTATGTTCTTATCAGACCTTCAGTAAAACTCATCACCAACATACCTCTGTTTGCACCATCAACACTCTCTCTTTCCTCAGCTTATAGACAATCTGGTATATGTCTATAATGTCCTTCTCCTTGATGTGCTGCAGAGAGTGATCCAACACAATGAACGTCCCCGACCGACCAACACCAGCACTGCAACAAAACACAGAGTTATAAACTCTTCCCATTCGTAGATGTTCCAATCTCCGAGCATTCCTCTATGAATTACACCTGGAGGTGGAACAGTTAATCAAATTTTCCATGTTATTCTTTATTACATGTATTAATGTTCATTCTAGCGTAGCAAGACAACAAGAATCTCTAGAAGATGACAAATCCCCCTGGCCCCCACACATTTGAAAGAACAAATCATCTGACAGTAGACTTGATTTTTTTAGACTAAGTCCAAATCGTTCCCATGGAAAAAATGAAAAATATAAATGCCCAAACTCCAAAATTAGCAGAAGTCACCACTTTGGGATGTGTCACATATATCTGCCAAGGTTTGCTGATAGATATAGAGCATTTTTTGTGTTATGTTCCGGAAACGAAATCCACCCCTTTTTGAGACAAAGTCCAAATGTTTTCATGGATATCGAGAAAAATATAAATGGCAAAAATCTGTAAAAGCAAAAGGCAGCACTTTAGATTCTGTCTGATACATATCTACCAATTTTTGTTGAAAAATATTGAACATTTTTTTAGTTATGCTCTGGAAACAAAAATGACTACGGACGGTTGGACGGATAGACGAGGCGTCAACTATAACGTACCCCCCACACACACACACACACACTTTAGCTGAACAACAATACAAGATCTGTATCAAACCTTGCACTGCACCTTCCAATAACTAAGGAAGCCAGTACCCAAATCTGAAAACAATCCATTAAATAATTGCAAAGTTATTGGTTGAACAAATTTGAGTGAGGATTTAAACCTTTGTTGCTCTGTGCACCATATTATCAACAACATAATCACGTCCACCTGATGGCGTTACTGACATATGTATCAGCTGGTGTGTGATGTCATACCTGCAGTGGGTGATGATAGGGCCTCCATCTCTGAACATCTTCTCTCGTACAGTACGGACAAATCGTATGAGAGATGTGGGATCTTTGGGAACGCCAAAATCGGGCCAGGCTTTGTAATGGAAATGTCGGATCTGTTGTGGTTGTTCTCCCTAGAAAAAACAGAAGTGCTCTCAGAACACACTCTTCCCATAGGGCAAATACTTCTCTTCTCATAGGGCAAATGTCTTCTCATAGGGCAAATACATCATGTCAGTCAGGTTTACCTCATAATCTTCCACAATGGCATTTTCCTATGAAGACAATCATTTGACCAATTTTGAAGACACATCAATAGAACACACTCTTCTCATAGGGCAAATACACTCTCTTCTCATAGGGCAAATACACACTCTTCTCATAGGGCAAATACACACTCTTCTCATAGGGCAAATACACACTCTTCTCATAGGGCAAATACACACTCTTCTCATAGGGCAAATACAGTCAGGTACAACTTACCTCATAATCTTCCACAATGGCATTTTCCTATGAAGACAATCATTTGACCAATTTTGAAGACACATCAATATACTTCAGCTCTGGTGCAGAACTAATTTTCAGAACAATAAATCAAAAGTTGATGTCTGGGTTTATAAATCTGTACAGGCATTTGTTTAAGCTTAAATGATATACAACAATATATCAATAATATGCATGCAAGTTCTCTCACCAGCTGTATCCTAAACTCTGATATTGTCCAGTCCGGCAGATGGGTTTCATTCAGTATAGCCACTTGCAGGTCACCGTAAAACTTGGGCTCGGAATCATTTGGCCAGTAGTGGTCACTTTTCTCCTGTAGGACAAGAAACACAGAGCAATGATTAATCATGAAGATGACGTTTCCAGGACTATGATCAGAAAATGAAGCACTGATAACATTGGTAAAAACAAGAGACAAATAGATACTAGCAATGTTGAACGTTAGCAATTTTAATGTTGTCAAGCCTAATGAAGGGAAAATACATAAGTTTATAATAATATGCATTATTTTAGCAGTGATAATGATGACTTGTTTGAAAATTCAAATCTTTTAAATAATAAACCCTCTCCTATTAAACAAAAACCCCTAAAACTTCAGCCAACTTCAGCCCCTTAAATTTCCCCATAAAGCTTGAAAAGAAAACTCCTTCAAAACTGTTAATGTAGAATGAAATTCTGCCCTCAAATTTCATGCCTAAAGGTCTCAAGAACCTTTATGTTTCACAAGAAAACCAAAATCCAACACCAGAATTTCAAAAATGTTATTAAAAGGAAAAGACAGTTTTCCAGCAGTGAATGAAATAGTACCTCCTCATTCACAAAACCCCCGGCGAACTCCTGAAATAGGCCACATCACATCACTAAGTATACAAGAAGCTTGGTGAAAACTGGATTGGGTTTGTTAAAATATAAACATGGGTGTGGAATCAAAACATATAAACAGAACACAAATTAATGGGGAAAACAAACAACGTACTGGTAAACCAACATGTCAACAGCTTATATTTGAAGGATAATTTGTCATACACTACCTTTCTACATAAACAATCCTGAATCAGTCGTGGTATGTCTCCAGTTTGATCATGAAGAGCACCACATGAATTACACTACTGCACAGTTGTACTTGGACCAATAGTATGTGATTGAGGTCACTTTAACTTAAGCTATATTCCAGCTACCGTAGTCATCATCATAAGCACTCTCTGACTAACATACAGGTCAGCCTGTAAGTAATCTTAGCATCCAATACTAAGACCATACATTTACATGACTTGTTTTCATGTCTACATCACAGAATTATTTACTGGACACACAGCATTGTGGACATGATGTATTAATGCAGAGAAACTGTTATCAAGAGGTTTTAGACCTGTTGATGTTTGAACTCACTTTTTCCTCTACCACTGCAATATCTCGCTATAAGGCACAAATACATGACATTTGTCACTGGCTTCGTCACAGTTTATCAGTACTTACAGTCAAGGGGAGATAATTAAGATGAATGAAACACTAATGAAAAACAAAATGGAATTAGTTTCAGGTTAAAAAACAGGGAATTAAAAAAATGTCTAGAAAATAAATCAAAGGCATAAAATTCGGTAAAATCAAGATTTCTTACCCTTCCTTTCTCACTACACTTGGTCAACATGACGATGTTCCGTGCATTTTGTTCCCATAACATTCTCCAGAAATCATCACGTGTTGATGGGAGTGGGCCCTGGGTCGCGATGTACTCTCGCTTAGACACGTAACCCTGGCAACAAGGAAGTCAGTCACGATATGCTTCTCAAAACAAACTTCCATCGTTCACTTTCACATTTACATCTTCATACAATGAATTCAATGTGAATAATTTTAAAACCTAAAATAATTCAAAATAGTTTCAAAGGTTCAAAGAATATCAATTCCATAGATTTTATCAGTACCTTTGTAAATAAAAAATATTTTAAATACCACAGAATGGATATATTCTACAAGTACAAACACATTGTTCCCAATACAACCTCTAAATGAGATACTCACTGGCATATAGTTAGCATTGATGTAGTCAGAGCCTTCATCATCATCGGTAGGAAGAAGTTTCACCCGTGAGTGGTCATACGGCAGGATGTTCGTGAATCGGTTCTTGGGTCTATTTGCTGGGAACTCTGCTGCCATACATGGCCCATCCCTTCCAATTTCTTTCAAGTCCTGTCATTAGAAAATATTTAGTTCAAGACTGTGTCAGAGAATATCTTGTCAAGAGGACTCTCAGACTGACTGACTGACTGACTGAGTATGGGTTTACACCTTTTTAAGCAATATTCCAACATCACGGCGGGGGACACCAGAAATGGGCTTTACACATTGTACCCATGTTGGGATTCGAACCCTGGGATTCGGCGTGGCGACCCTTTTAANCACACAGGACTCTCAGAACTCAAACAGTGGAATAAAAGGTACTCAATTCATTCCTTTGTAATACTTCTACAATAAGAACTGTTACTAGAATTTTAAAATGTTCAAATTTTAAAAAGTCAAAATGCCAACAATATTTCAAGTTTGGGGATTATCCAACTGTCTCCCTCACCTCGTATTCCTCAGCATATCTAAAGTCGGAGTCAGCTGTCATTTTCCTCACATGTTCCTTGAACTCAGCCAACTTCACAGGACGACTGGTGGACAGAAACAAAGTATATTACATTCTGATAGTGTAGTGGACTTCCAATCATTTGTTATTTGTTACTTTCACCAAGCATTTGTTGGTCATTAAGTTCAGCCAATGAAGGAGACAAGGGAGGCAACTCACCTAAACTTGTGCATACTGGACTGCTCGAACTGAATGCGGTCACCATTGTACTTGTGTGCACGTTTAGGGATTCGTCGGCGAAGGAAGATGAGCACGACAGCAATGATGGCGATGATGATGATGGCTGCTATGACACCTCCAACAATACCCCCAATATTGGTGGGTGTGGCAGCTGTTAGAAGAGAGAGCGAGATGGAAATTCACAGTGAGAAAGACAATAGTTACACCTCACAAATAAGCCAACTGCATGTTAGGACAAAATTATGCTCATCCATGCAGCCATTATAAAGGGCATCTACATGTACAGTTGTTACATATAATTTACATTCGGTTATCTTCACAATATAGCTCGCATAACAGTACTTTAACACACTAAGAGTGGGTTATAAAACACCATTTGTTTGCACTCAGCAATCTCACAGCTTTCTGAATCCAGTCTGTAAATAATTGAGTCTGAACCAGACAATCCTGTGACTGGCATCATGCATGTCGATGTACACAATTGGGACATGATGACACTCATCATTTGAGTCAATCCTTGACCATTCAGTAACTTTAGCTTCTGATGAAACATGAGTTGGTGAAGACAAACTATAATCCAGACCTTACAAGGGTCTTGAAATTAAGTGGTTGACCATCAAAGATCACTATAGACCTAAACAAGGTAGTATTCCACTGTCTTCAACAAGTTACTACTGAGAATTAAATAACCACAAACCTGTTTTTATTTTTTGTGAATACGCAGTGTCCCTGTATCCGCCAATTGTGTAAGCTCGGAGCTTGAAGTAGTAAGTAGTTTCAGGTTTCAGAGGGCCGTTACAGTAGTCTGTGTTGCCACAGCTGGTCTGGGATCCAACTGTGAACACCTTGTACGTTACCGTCTCCGCAGCCCGCCTCCTCCTACCTGGGGCACCACACGTTGAGTCTGCCAGGAAGAAGTCTGAGCAGTTCCCGATGGTCTGGTACGCCTTGATGGTGGCCTTCTGCTGAGCCTCCTTCCAGCTGGGCAGCTGGGGTGACGTCAGCTCAGTGAGAGCGCCATCGGTCGACACGATCACTGTATATTGGACAATTCGTCCATTGGCGTCCGAGAAAGAGTTAGGAAAAGTCACCTTGACGAATGTTTCACCAATATTTCCTGGTTCCGTGGCTGCTTGTCGGGGTTTTGCAGAGTCCTGGGTGAAACCAGCCTTTAGAGCTGGTGCTGAGGAGACAAAGGATACCAGATGGTCCTGAGCAATGTTATGGAGCAAAGGCATCTGATGAAACAATATGCATCTTGTGCCTCTCATCACCACTAACGATGTGTCTGTAATTTGTCTATCAACAGTCCATGATGGCTCAAATGTCAAATGTGTTACACACATGGTGTACACGATGTAAATGGTGTATATATATACCAATAGGACATATATCAAATACACATTTGTATATCAACAATTACAAAAGGGAGATAATTCACAGAATCCATAAAATTTGCATGACAGATGCTGGCTTAATTTTGTGATATTACTACTGTTGTTGTTGTTGTTGTTAATGTTGTTAATGTTGTTGATGTTGTTGATTGTTGTTGTTGATGTTGTTTATGTTGTTGTTGATGTTGATGTTGTTCATGTTATGTTGTTTGTTGATGTTGTTGTTAATGTTATGATGTTGTTGTTAATGTTGTTGTTGTTGTTGTTGTTGTTGGTTGTTGTTGTTGTTGATGTTGATGTTGTTACTATGGCCTTACCTGCTGTTCCCAGCTGGACTGTTGCACGTCCTGGACTGCCAAGATCCACTGTAAATGCCCTCACCTGAACAAAACACACCACCATCATCCATCGGAAACACACTGCCACAAAACAACAGGCACTTCCTATCCAGTAAAACATACTTAACGATACACATATAGTCACTGACCCATGACATATACACGTGATTACCATCTTCACCTACAGACAAGCACCCAGAAGAAGTCCCATTTAAAGGCAACATGCCATCGTGGCAAAGAATAATACATTTTTCTCATCATCATATAAGTAACTTACAAACATGCTGAGTAAACAGCTTTTATCAGAGCAATCAAGAATTTTTGCTACTGTTAAACAGTTTTAATATTGACGTTCTCAACTCCTCTTTAATGGAGTCATCTTTCCTTGTCTACAACATGGCTAAGGGTTGATACAAGTTTGAATTAATTTGCTGCATAGTTGGGAAGATCAGTTCAGCATTTTGGGGAACTCACAGAAACTGTATAGAAGAATCCAGCTTTGAGACCAGTCAACTCAAGTCTCCTGCTGCTGCTGTCAGCCTCCTTGCTTCCATTGTCTTTAGGCTACAACATGAACATGAACATCATCACCACTGAACATTACGCATCATCATATCATCACTGACCATGAAACATCAACATAATGCAGAGAGCGTATCACACAGCGATAACAACATTCTGATGATTCTTTAGGTCAGTTCTTCTCCACTTCTTTGAGAGGCATTTTAGAAGTTGGATAGATGAAGTATGCAAAGTATGCCAGATTAGACAGGTGCCGGATTAGACAGGTGCCGGTGTTGGCAGGTTTCACTGTACTTATTCAACAAAAATACAGACCACAAATCTGCAGATAATGCATGTAGAGGTTACAAGTGATGTACCTACCCCATTGATTGACTGATCATAACCAGAATATGAGATGACATAGTGCTGGACCTCCCCATTCGTGTACTGTGGCTCGTTCCATGTGACCAGCACAGACGTCAGACTCGATGTCCTCACAGCGTTCACGTTACGCACTTTGGATGGAGCTGATAAAGATAATTTCATGAAATATCATCAAACTTTAAGGTGCATCAATTTGGGATGTATGATGCTCCCATGCAAATCCCACAGTCCCACAGATCCCTCCCTTGTGCAACAAACACCCCATCATGGCTGAGACGCATTCGTGAGCCAGTCAGTCATCGGATAGGTCACGTAAAGTATTTTACACACATAACAATTACAATATCACGTTGAAGATTGATGTTTTTGAAAAACAAATACGAAATCATATATTATCTCCATGGACTTCCATGTTGAATGAGAAGATATATAGAGGATATTATTATTTGAGTGCCCATGTCATACTATGCTAACAACACGAGTGCCTAAATGTTGGTATTTCCCGAGCGAGAGCGAAGGATATACCGATATCTAGGCACAAGTGTCGTAAACATACTATGATATGGGCACGAATATAATATTCTATTTATTACCGAAGTCGTCAAATTGAGGAAAATATACCCAAATCTACTTTCAAACATAGGCTGGCTAACCACCGTCACTGCATGTAGAACAGAACGTCATAGAAGAAACGTAAGGTCATAGCATTGTTCATGTGATATATTGCCTTGCGGTATAGCATGAAAAATAAGAACCCCGATATTTTCGCCCTTGTGGGTAATAAAAAGGAAAATTAGGATTAGCCAAATCATATTTTTCTCTTTATGGACGAATAGTGAGTGAGTTTGATTTTATGCTGCTTTTAGCAATATTCCAGCAATATCACAGCGGGGGACACCAGGAATGGGCTTCACACATTTTACTCATGTGAGGAATCGAACCCGGGCTTTCGGAGTGACAAGGGAACACTTTACCCACTAGGCTATCCCACTGCCCTTATGGACGAATAATTATTTTTTTTAAATTGTAAAGTCAGCCAATATAAATGCCACAAAATCACTTTCTGTATATGTATTGCAGTATGACCTGAAGGAGAAGAAATTGACTCACCAGCCTCTTTGGTTCTTATCAAGAATGTCTGACTCTCGCTCTTGGCTCCAGCGCTGGTGAGCACAGTGATGTTGTAGTTGGTGTAGGGCTGTAGGTTGTTGACCGTCACTTCATGTACCTGGGAGGGGTAGTTGTGGTTCCAGCATGTCACCCCTTTCATGTCACATTTCACAACAAATGCATCAGCATTGCCGTTCAGCTGCCCGAAGTGGATCTTGATCTCATTAGACATTGAAGAGTAGGTCACAGGCACTGGGTTTGGTCCTGAAACAGAAGTCAAGATTCCACTTGTCTAAGAAAACCAAACAGAGCCTATCAGCGATCAATGTTGGGTCAAGTTGTAGTTTTTCAAAGGGTGTCAGCTTAATATTTGCCGTAAGGCAACAGCCATGTCTTCCAGACCTTGTTTAATCCTGTGGTGAATTTTTTTATGATTAAATTGTTCGGGGGAAAATGTGTTGCTAACAACTGTATATCTAAAGTGAGACTGGCCACTTACTGGTTCTGATGGGCAGAAACTTGGGATCACTGATCATATCGCTGATTTCACTGACTGCCCGCACATTGTATAGTGTTCCAGCCACCAGGCTGTCGAATTTGACAACACTGACGTTGCTCTTGGGACGGAAGATGTCAGGGACACTAGCGTTGACGGAGAAGCGGATGCCGGTGAAGATGTCGTCGCTGCTGGGGAGGCTGTAGGTGAAGACCACGGAGGCATTGGTCGTCTGCTGGGTCGACTCACTCCATGCAATATTCAGCAGGGGCTCTGTTGTGAATGAACATTGCAGTTCATGTAGTGCATGTAATACAAGCTTCAAATTCAGGGATGGCAACAGGAAAATCTATCTTCAGCTGAAAACTTAATATTGTGTAATCAAATGGGGGCTTCGGGGTGTTTATTTGAAATAAAATCGGCGGAAATCCATGGATCAGTGGAAAAGTGCCATCAATGCAAATTAAATAGTGAATTTCCATCCACTACTGTGTGATACTGTTGAGAGCTTCTACAGACACATCACTCAAAACCTAGAAGTCATTAATGAGGGAACTGTAGCACAAGGAGTCAGGAGAAGCAAGTTGAAGACATTGACCATTTTGGTAAGATACACACGATGAAAGCTGACAAACATTGTGCTGACAAGCCAAGGATCACAGGCACAGCAAATCTGGCATGAAACCCACAACTAGCAAATCTGGAGCAACGCTCTCGGGTTTCAACAACTTAGACACACTTTCCCCTCACTTATTCTCAGTCGTGTTCAGCAATGATGTGATCGACCAGCAATTTAACAGTACAAACACAACTGTGTGTTACGCTACTTACTGACGGTGGTGTTGACGGTCTGTGTGGCTGACTCCTTCCCTTCAACAGTGGCCATGACATGAAACTGATACTTGGCACCAGCTTTCAGACTATCAACAGTGTACTGCACCAGGGTGCTGGAACCAGGTGTAACAGTGGCAGCCGGCAGGGAGAAGGTGTCATTGTAGGCACTGACAGACCATGCCTGGACAAAGGTCTCGTCCTGCTGGTACGTCCAGCCCAAGGTCACGGTGGAGGTTGTGGTCAGCTCCGACATTATGGACAAGTCAGTTGGGGCCAGGGGGGCTGAAGAAGAAGAGCCACTTGTTTATATGAATTTGAAGTCTATATGAACTTCTTACATCCCTTGAGGTCATTATTGTATAATAGTACAAGATTTGCACTTCATGGTCTCAATGTATTACTTATGGAAACAAAGATGGATGATGTGGCCAAGTGATATAGGTAATGATCAGCACAAAGACACATGAGATAATCATAGTGCACATCGCCGACTCCAGTGGACAATCTCTGTTTAAATCCAGTGAAACAAAAAATCCATATTAACACTCAATTTGTCTATTGCCCAAGACTACTGACCTATAACAGCTGTTTTGGGGGTCATTTCACTGATCATATTCCCACTAATGGCATACACTCGGATCTGGTACATTTCACCAGGAAACAGGCCCGGCAGAGACAAGGCTGGCTGGGTAGTGTTCTGTTCAATGAAGGCTGCGGCAGAGTTCCGGAACACAGGTCTAAAGTCGACTCGGAACACGTCCTGTTTGCTGCCAGTCTCAGCTTCCCACTGTAGGTTGACTGTCGTCCCATTTACCACAGCTTGGAGGGACGTCACAGGCTTAGGTGCTGAAAGAAAGGACGGAAAGGTTAATGAATCCATAAATACGCAAGTGTTTAAATACTAGTATCCAATACAAGCTGGCTGTAAGGCTCTAGCAGGTTAGGCATCACAATACCATGAAATCAGAATTAATTGCAACAATATTTAGCTGATGATCAACAGATCTGTGGGAACTACATTGTCAGTTCTCAGCTGCCAGGGAAGCATACAACCCAAGCTGAATCTAAGGTTACCTGTTACAATACCAGAAATCAGACTGACTGACTGACTGAGTTTGGTTTTACGCCGCTTTTGGCAATATTCCAGCAACATCACGGCGGGGGACACCAGAAATGGGCTTCACACATTGTACCCATGTGGGGATTCGAACCCGGGTCTTCGGTGTGACGAGCCAACCCTTTAACCATTAGACTACCCCACGGCCCCCCAGAAATCAGAATCGTTTGCAACAATATTTCGCTGATGATCAATGGATTAGTGGGAACTACATTGTCAGTAGGGAAGTATACAACATAAGCTGGGTGTAAGGCAACAGAAGCCTAGCTTCCACAATAGCATGGAATTTCTGACCCAGAGCTTGATGCTACAAGAATTGTGTGACCCCATAATTTCACGCTGACCAACTGATCGATGTGGTTGTAGTTTGTTTTTAACACCACACAGCTAAATGGCAGCAGTCTGTAAATAATCAAGTCTGGACGAGACAATTCGGTGACGTAGGCATACCTTAGGTGTTGATTTGGTGTATTAATGTTATGGACATTGTGTACCTGTGGTTGCTGTCTGAGACTGTGTTGAACTGTCGGCCGAGTCTAACTGGGGCACCGCTCGCACCGCCTTCACAGTCACATTGTAGGTGTACCCGCTCAACAGCTGGGTCAGGCTGACCTCGTAGGATGTCTGGCCAGACAAGTACTCGACTTGTCGCGATCGCAGCTGGTCATCGGTACCGGTACCATATTCAAGCTGGAACAAACACATTCTCATGTACATTTCACACAAAGGTGTTGTTAAAATAGATGATATTCTGAGGTTATTAATTGATCAGTATAATTAGCTAATTTAATGTGTCTTAAATTAACAAAAGATGGGTGGTTAAAACAAAACATCATCTGAAGTTTCATTAAATGACATCTTAAAACTATTTTTACTCCATTCAAATTGAGAATAATGTAAAATTACAGAACACGTGAAATAATGTGAGTTATTTCGCTTCCAGTCTTTAACTTCAGGCCCTAACATTACAAAAGTAAAATGCAAAGAAAATGAACACAATACATATTTTCACATGCTCCCAAAAATAGCAGTTAATGTGATGTGCAAGACCTACCCATCCTCATCCATAATTCTCAAATAAGTGTCAACTTACAATGAAGTAATCTTGTTGAGAAACAGCATTTAAATTCCATTTCACACTGAGAGTCTCTTCATCAACAGGCATCACACCAAGATTGACTACCGGTTCCGGCTCTGAATGGAGAGATGAACAAGACCATTATAGACATACAATTAGTCATCGGTAAAACAGCTAGTAGCAGATACACACAAATATTTCTGTTCACTAGTGTGAAGATTCCCATATCACAACATTCACACCACATCATACAACATTCACACCACACCACACAACTACATACACACACATCACACAACATTTACACCACATCACACAACATTTACACCACATCACACAACTTCATTCACACATCACACAGCAACATTCACACCACATCATACAACATTCACACATCACACAACATTCACACCACATCACACCACATTCACACTTCACACATCACACAACATTCACACATCCTGCAACAACATTCACACATCACACAACATCCACACCACATCACACCACATTCACATCACACAACATTCACACCACATCACACAATATTCACACATCAAACATTCACTACATCACACAACATTCACACAACATTCACACCACATCACACAACATTCACACCACATCACACAACAATATTCACACATCAAACATTCACTACATCACACAACATTCACACATCACACAACATTCACACCACATCACACAACAACATTCACACCACATCACACAACAATATTCACACATCAAACATTCACTACATCACACAACATTCACACCACATCACACAACAACATTCACACCACATCACACAACAACATTCACACCACATCACACAACAACATTCAACAATGGCCTGTAAGAGTCAGTACACCTAAACAAACCTGTGCCAAAGCTGTCAGATATGCTTTATAAATATTTCTTCTATGGATTTATTTTATGACTGCTGTTTAAACCTCCCTCTGCATAATTCCAGCTGCATTGATACATAATCAAGTCTGGACCAGACAATCCTGTGACTGACATGATGAGCATCAATTTACATACTGGGGATATGATGACACGTGTGTGACATACCAAAACAGTTAGATGCCTATTATAATGACAAATCTAACCAGAATCTTCAGAGGGTGAAATATATGATGACAACCTACCTGTGACTGCCACGATGTAGGTGGCCATTCCCCAGACGGTCTCAGCGCCCCGATGTTTGACGGTGTTGATGGTGATGTTGTACATCTTCCCAGGACTCAGGCCTCCAAACCAGAACGTTGAGTCTCCACTAGGAAATACAACACTTTCATATTTCTACTTCATAAATTCAAACAAAGAACAGTCAATGCTTGCAGATCAGGTATACACTTAATTTCAAGCGATGCCAGTTCTTTAAAGCAACATAGTTGTGATCTCAACAGAATCTTTTTGTGTGAACCATGTGTGAACCAAAGCCATGAATTCATAAGTAACCCTTGCAACCCACTGCCTATTTCGTGATCCTTGTGACCCATTGCCTATTTTGTGACCCTGGTGACCCACTGCCCATATTGTGACCCTTCCGATACACTGCCTATTTTGTGACCCTTCTGATCCACTGCCTATTTTGTGACACTTGTGATCCACTGCCTATTTTGTGACACTTGTGATCAACTGCCTATTTTGTGACCCTTGTGATCCACTGCCTCTTTTGTGACCCTGGTGACCCACTGCTTATTTTGTGACCCTGGTGACCCACTGCCTATTTTGTCACCCTTGTGATGCACTGCCTATTTTGTGACCCTGGTGACCCACTGCCTATTTTGTGACACTTGTGATCCACTGCCTATTTCGTGCCCCTTGTGACTTACTGCCTATTTTGTGACCTTGGTGACCCACTGCTTATTTTGTGACTCTTGTGATCCACTGCTTATTTTGGGACACTTGTGATCCACTGCCTATTTTGTGATCCTTGTGATCCACTGCCTACTTAGTGACCCTTGTGATCCACTTCATATTTAGTGACCCACTGCCTATTTAGTGACCCTTGTGATCCACTTCCTATTTAGTGACCCTGGTGATCCACTGCCTATTTTGTCACTTTTGTGACCCACTGCCTACTTAGTGACCCTTGTGATCCACTGCCTATTTTGTCACCCTTGTGATCCACTGCCTACTTTGTGACCCTTGTGACCCACTGCCTATTTTGTCACCCTTGTGATCCACTGCCTATTTTGTCACCCTTGTGACCCACTGACTATTTTGTCACCCTTGTCATCCACTGCCTTTTTTGTCACCCTTGTGACCCACTGCTAATTAGTTATGTAAATGACTATATGCCGCAGACTTTCCAATCATAAACATTCTCCATATGAAATAAACCCCTTATACTCTAATGACCATCCTCAGTTGTGCCCTACTTACATCCCCCGTGTAATATTGGGTGTTGGACCATCCTGTGGATCTATCACTAGGTTGAAGTAGTCAAAGTGTTGAGACACCGGTGAGGTCCAGTTGACATGAATGGCCGTAGTGTTGGCCTCAATCTTCTGCAGGGTGGCAACAGAGGTGGGGTCTGTCAAACAGAGAAACAGAGGTCAGGTACACTTCATTCCAGACAAAATAACCTCACAGGTCTTGTCTATCAGGATGAAGAGAATAATGATGAGGATGATGGCTTGTCCTAAATACACACCTTGTAAAGGACATCTCTTACTTCTTAATTTCCGATAAAAAGATTACTGTTCAACAAAATTATCGAAGACAAAGTTCTATTTCTTTCTCTGCTTTACAAAAATAGTAAACTGATATTTAATCTATCAAAAACTTATGCACTAAAATGTTGCACAATAAGAAAAAAAGTTACATTTTTGTACCCTTCCACCATTTTGAATATTCTTCCACCAAAATTTATAAAGTTATGCAATGTTTTCACTCATAAATAGTGATATATCAAAATAAAACTGTATGTAAGAGCTATATTTCAAGAAGGTAGTCACACACAGATATATCTACATATCAGAAAAAAATATGGGATTCAAAACAAGATTTGAAGCCATGCATAACTTGTATATCTGCAAAAATAAGTGGAATCTAGTTGTTAACAAAATGACAAGCACACAGCAATGTTTGTCAAACAGAATGCTTTTCTTCAACGGACACCAATCTGTGAAGTAAAAGTATAAGTGTTGCTTGTTTGTTTGTTTGTGTGTGTAATTCCACACTCAGCAATATTCCAGCTACATGACGGTGGCCTTAAATAATTCAGCCGGGGCAATCCAGTGATTGACATCATGAGCACTGTGTGATTGAGTGAGTATGGCTTTACACCACTTTTAGCAATATTCCATCAATATCATAGCAAGGGACACCAGATATGGGCTTCACACATTGTACCAATGTGTGGAATTGAACACGGGTCTTCGGCATGACGCGCGAACGTTTTACCCACTTGGCTACCCCACCGTCCATCACATCATGAGCAGTGATCTGTGCAGTTGGAACATGATGACATCAGTCAGCCAAGTCTGCTAGCCTGCCTACCAATCCCACTAGTCGCCTTCTACAACAAGCGTGAGTTGTGGACCCATTCTATCCCAGAATATTCAAAGGAAAATACCACCAGCATTTTCAGATGTGATTTTCAGCTAGTAATAATATTCTTTAAATGACGGTTAAAAGTAATCATCATTCTGTTAACTTGTGAAATATTATGCTAATGTGAGCATTCAGCAGTCGCTAGAAGCAAAACAAGTCATACATGGTACAAAATCAGGGTCCATACAAAATGTAATCATACAAAATCATACACGGCATATTTCAGAATTCCTTGATTGCTATATCAATATTAAACATCTGCTTGCATCGTACAAGAGTTAACCACATCATACTATAAATAGATATCTAGGATTGATTGAAACTGACAGGTGGAATAAAAGAAGCTCTCCACCAATTACTCTACTTCCAATCAATAGTCGGTCTGTCACATTTGTTAGACAATCAATCAAGGATTCTGAAACAAGCCTGGTCAAGTCAAAAAGATACAGAGTAAAGGAATAGATGTGACACATGCAGGGGTGGGGAAGGAATCCTAGAACAAAAGGTCAAATCAAACATCAGGCAGATAGAGTTCTATTTCTACAGTTTGCACCTTCACGAAAAAAAGATGCATTTCATAGTGCAGTGGAATAACCCAAATACCATCATTTCGTTTATAGTAGAGAAAATGCCATCCAAATGCCAAAGTTAGAACAAAACAGACATATTTGAATCAGTCATTCAAATCCAAATTCAGAAAGGAACCATTCAGGTTTTGAAAGGAACCGAAAATATCCAAATCTAGAAATTGATGACCAAAACCAACCAGCCAAATTTTAAAGTAAGTGAGAAGCCATCCAAAAAGATTCTGTTAGAACGATTCAAATCAAAATAAACCTACAGGTTGTAAAGTACAACGTAGTTCCAGCGCTCATTAAACTGTCTTTGATTCCTCTACTGACAGCGTACAATGTGATGGAGTAATCCTTCCCTGGGTCAAGGTTATCTAGTATCAGGTCAAACTGATCACTGGGTAATTCTCCCATGGTAGTGTCACCAAGGGGGAAATTATAAACGAAATAATCGTATGACGTCCCTGTGGGAGCGTCCCAGTTTATTATGACCTTTGTTGTGCCCCTCAAGGACACCCACGAGTGGCTAATGGGGAAGGGTGCTGAAATGAAATAAGTTATTGGGTTGACAACACAGTTATCACAAATAATCACTCGGCACATTCACATAGAAACAAAAGCTCACAACAGACATTTCATAAATTATGAAAATTTAACTTACATCTTTTGAAGAACAATGTTTGATACTGTTATTCACCAAATTTTGAAATCAACAGAAGAATGTGATCAAACAAGTTAATTTATCGATAATTTGATCATTTAAAATCAGAACATATTAAAGATTGTTTTCAGCAAATTATTTGTTTTTTTCAACAAAAAAATCAAAATATTTCATAGAATCAACAATGACAATGTTTAAGTATTAGCAGCATGACAAAATGTTAGGAAGCAAACCATTCATCACATCAGTTCACACATCAGTCATGTAATCTAACTGATGGCACCAATATTCTTACTTGTAGTCACATGTTTCAGTACTGGTGAGCTCTGTTCAATCCCCAGATTGGTCACCACGGTGATGTTGTATGTCTGCCCAGCTTCAACGATGGGGAAGGCATAATACAAGTTGGTTGTCTGAGCGGTCATCACCTGGCTGTTGCCATCGATTTGGACAAGGGTCACGGTGAAGTTGTGGTATGTTCCTGTCTCCGGGGCCACCCATGTGACGTCAATAGCAGTTGAGTTGAAGGCTGTCACATTCACCCCAGTCGGAGGAAGTGGTTCTGATGAAAGAAGTTGAAGGTGAAAATTCCACGTTCTTTCAGTTTCATAATTTTCAATGAGCAAGTCATAGCTTCTTGTTAGCAGGCCTGTTGTTGTTTAATGACACACTCAGAAATATTCCAGCTACATGATGGCTGCTTTAAACAAGAATTCTGGACCAGACAATCCAGTGATTGACATTGTGAACGATCCACACCAGGGTTTGCTGACATGCAATCAATCGAATCCGAGTTTGGTTGCCTGTACAATAAGCATAGATAACTGAAGACCTTTTCCAGCATGGAATCAGTGTAAAGATTGTTATCAGTCATAAGCAGAAGTTAACTTTCATTGAAGGACGGAAGAAGTTTTGCCGCTACTTATCAAAACTCACTTGTATAGAAGGTGCGCATCACTGTTTGACTGTCTTGATTACCACTGACAGCATAGGAGTTGACTACATACTCCTTCCCTGCCGACAGATTCTCCAGCACAGCAACAGGATTCTCTACAGATATGTTCCTAAAACATACAAAACATACACCCACATTAATACTTTATTATAACAGCCGTTGCAAGATATTGATGAACTCTGATTTGTGTGAGCAGTTGCTTTCAACAGCCTTTCATTAAATATCATTATTTTTAAGTTCTACTTCGTTGAACAGCCCAAAACGATACAGCTATGAAATAGTTTCCAGTTGAGTTATGAGCAAGGTACAAACCAAGGATTTTAATTAGGGGAATTCAAACCATGATCACTGAATCCTGTTTCAAATAAGGGATGCAACTCTGTACAGTCCCATACTGAACAGCTGATATCCAAGAGAAATACATTTTGGTAAGCGGATACGCCAAGCCACTGACCTCTGTCCCGGCACGTCAACAACTGTGAGGATGAAGTAATCTGGGTTACTGTCTCCAGTCGTTGGTCAAGGTGACTGTGGCACTTGTTTCCGTGACAACAAGAGATGCATACGCTGGGGGGTCAGGTTCTGGAGATAGAAGCACAGTTTCAGTCATACTATTACAAGTAAGGCTAAGTAGTTTCAAGCATTAAATCCTAATGCAAAACTGGAGACAGGGATACTTCACACAAAAATTCATCTCTGATTCCAACCTGCACAAGGTCTGAAAACACCTCCAAAGATGTCCATGTCAAGTGAGCCTCGAGGGAACTTTGACCACCAATCTAAATGAAGGAATGAGTGGGTTCTTGAGCCAATTAGACTGACTGACTGAGTTTGGTTTTACGCCGCTTTTAGCAATATTCCAGCAATATCACGGCAGGGGACACCAGAAATAGGCTTCACACATTGTACCCATGTGGGGATTCGAACCCGGGTCTTCGGCATGACGAGCCAACGCTTTAACCACTAGGCTACCCCACCGCCCCCTGAGCCAATTAGATGTCATTACTACATTCATTGTTGATGTACAGAAAGCAGCCATGGTTGTCCAAATGCTACACTCAATAACTGAGACACTGATTTGCTGATTAGAAGGTACACCTGACATCCTTTGGAAATGTACCCAGTTCTCCAAGCAGAGAGGTATTGCATTGAAGATGATATCTAAATGAGATCGGCATTTCCTGCAGACAGATGTAAGTACTTACTGGTCCTGAAGGTCATTGTGATTGGACTGCTGCTGACAGCTTTGGTAGTGACGAGCACTGACACTTGATAGGCAGAACCAGGGAGGAGATTGACGATAGTGGTCCTGGTTTCCTCCTTGTCCAGGGAGATATTCACCATTTCTTGAGTGGGTTTAGTCAACATGATGAGGATGTGCTCAAAGTGGGAGTGTTGGGGCAATGTCCAGGAGATGGTGAGAGCTGTGGTGTTCTCGGCTGTTCCCTTCAAGGCAGTAGGGCTCTCCGGAACTGTGATTGAATCATACATTGTCATGACTTTTGCAAAATAACAGGTACAATTCTTATTTCAGATAGTTATGCTAAATGGAAACACAAAACTGCATTCTTTTGTAAAATGTTGTTGAAAACTGTTTGACCAAGAATCTACAAACATCCTTTCATCCACAGTCACAGGTAACTAACATCCTTTCATCCACAGTCACAGGTAACTAACATCCTTTCATCCACAGTCACAGGTAACTAACATCCTTTCATCCACAGTCACAGGTAACTAACATCCTTTCATCCACAGTCACAGGTAACTAACATCCTTTCATCCACAGTCACAGGTAACTAACATCCTTTCATCCACAGTCACAGGTAACTAACATCCTTCATCCTTTCATCCACAGTCACAGGTAACTAACATCCTTTCATCCACAGTCTACATCCTTTTTCATCCAAAGTCACAGGTATCCACAGTTACAGGTAACTAACATCCTTTCATCCACAGTCACAGGTAACTAACATCCTTTCATCCACAGTCACAGGTAACTAACATCCTTTCATCCACAGTCACAGGTAACTAACATCCTTTCATCCACAGTCACACGTAACATCCTTTCATCCACAGTCACAGGTAACTAACATCCTTTCATCCACAGTCACAGGTAACTAACATCCTTTCATCCACAGTCACAGGTAACTAACCTCCTTTCATCCACAGTCACAGGTAACTAACATCCTTTCATCTACAGTCACAGGTAACTAACATCCTTTCATCCACAGTCACAGGTAACTAACATCCTTTCATCCTTTAACATCCTTTCATCCACAGTCACAGGTAACTAACATCCTTTCATCCACAGTCACAGGTAACTAACATCCTTTCAACATCCTTTCCTTTCATCCACAGTCACAGGTAACTAACATCCTTTTTCATCCACAGTCACAGGTAACTAACATCCTTTCATCCACAGTCACAACTAACCTCCTTTCTCATCTACAGTCACAGGTAACTAACATCCTTTCATCCACAGGTCAACTAACATCCTTTCATCCACAGTCACAGGTAACTAACATCCTTTCATCCACAGTCACAGGTAACTAACATCCTTTCATCCACAGTCACAGGTAACTAACATCCTTTCATCTACAGTCACAGGTAACTAACATCCCTTTCATCCACAGTCACAGGTCTACATCCACAGTAAACTAACATCCTTTCATCCACAGTCACAGGTAACTAACATCCTTTCATCCACAGTCACAGGTAACTAACATCCTTTCATCTACAGTCACAGGTAACTAACATCCTTTCATCCACAGTCACAGGTAACTAACATCCTTTCATCCACAGTCACAGGTAACTAACATCCTTTCATCTACAGTCACAGGTAACTAACATCCTTTCACTATACAGTCACAGGTAACTAACCATGTCACAGTCACAACATTACATCATAACTAACTAACAGCAGCTGCAACATTCAGCCACCTTGTCACATCTCCTTGTTGTAACCAGCAGCTGCAACATGAAGACATGAACGTTGTAAGAAACTCCTCCCATCAAGGTGTCTTCACTGAATATATACTTCCGTCCCACCACAGATTCCAAGGTCTTATTGAATATTTGCTCAGCCGTTGTCTGAGTGTTGACAACTGAAACTTCAAAATATTCAACTTCCGAGTGTAACGGTGCCGACCATGTCACTTCGATCCGACGGACGCCGGCAGAACCATCCAAGCCCCTCACAGCCACAGGCTCTGAAAACAGAAAGAAAAAGAAACGTCACATAAACTATTCCCCTAAATAGAGCAGGCATTGTGTCCTTAGAGTAAGTGTGATTTTTACCAGAAAACAGTTTGACAAACTTGACCAAACTGAACAAACCATTTCTCCAATATTAAGCAGGTTAAGTACAGAAGCTTAACTTGGAAGAGGTCATTTTTCCTATAGCTGTCTGGTGTGTCTGGTTGGTGTTATACACCTGGGCCTAGATTTTCAAAGCTCTCTTAGCACTAAGATAGTCGTAAGTTAATGTTAATGTATGGCACTTACAACTATCTTAGCGCTAAGAGAGCTTCGAAAATCTGGGCCCTGAACAGTATCCATTGTCATCTTCTTGGATGAAGTTTTAGAAGAGTTTTACAAATTGTCCCCCTTTTCAAACACATATTGAGGGAAATGAATAAGGGAACACCACTTCATGGTAGTTTTCCTATATTCATTCTAGGATTTCCTCTGAACTCACTTGTGTTCCTCTGTGCCATGACGGCAGTGCTGGTCAAGTTGTCCCTGGTGGCAAACACCAGTATCCGATACAGATGTCCAGGAAGTGCCCCAGGAGCAAACACACATGGTGGGGCAGCGGAACATGTTGCATTTAACTCCTCCGTCTTGTCAGACTCCATATAGGATAGTCGATACCCATCCTGAATATAACACCATGCATATCACTGCTATTATCCATCATCAACAAATACAGGAATTTAAGTAGGTAATGCATCACAATATAGCATATCTCATTTTGGACCAATACATATAATATTAATATCATAGAATAAGTCTTAATATTATGCAAAAATAGACTTCATGGGGAGTAAAAAAAGCAAAACGAAGGTGAAAACTGTTCAAGACATTCAGGTGATGGACCAGATAATCAGGTGTTGGTCAAGAGAAACAATCGCCTACCTGCAAACTGTCTGCAGCATACTCCCATGTGGCCGTGAGATGGGTGGTGTTGACTGCACTGACCGCCAAGTTGATCGGAGAAGATGGCACTACAGTGGACAAGGTACACATTAGATAACACGATTATCGGTACATCAAGCAGAGCTCCACAAAAGCTGAATAAAATGCAAAACAAACATCACTATAACCATTTCATTCGCTAGTGAACAAACATGCATGAAAAATTTCCAAACTAATATCACTATGCTTAATTACCCTTAATACTTGATAGTCTTTTCATCTTGTGTACCTTCACATCTGAACAGGGCTCCAACCTTCCACTCGCCCGCTCGTATTGACAAGTAAAATTTGTTTCTAGCAAGTGAAAAACATAATTTGCTTGTCCTAGAGGACGAGTACGTTTTCTGACCCAAAAGCAACATTTTTCTTTTTCCTTGAAGTTCAGCTATCTTAAATGGTGAACGAATTCAATTTTGTCAAAGATTTTGTACAGAAGACAAAGTAAGAAATGTTTATTGTAGTTTTATGCCAAGCAAACATTTTGAAATACAATAATTTAAATGTATATTCATTGTGATGCATGATCATTGATCTATAGGGAAAGTACAGTTTTAGAAGGACAAGTGGAAGTTCATATTAATCGCCCTACAGGGCAAGTGCAGATTTTTGAATTTTTCGAGCCCTGCTGAACATATTCATTTACTGATCTAATGCACATACCCCTATACATAAACCCAAGTGCAGGGTCTAATGCACAAAAAGGCCATGTCTTGCTATCTGTAACTGACGGGGATCGCTGTTGCGAGATGATGTGATAAGTGACACACTTGGAGTAGCAGACGAACAGAAGCAATTTAGAATCAGCTTTTCAAGCAGAAACATGTCAACAGTGTGAACTCCTTGCTTTAAAATACTCAATAAACAGGTCCCAATGGAGGAAACATATATGTCTACCCAAAGAAATTGTCAGTGCCCAACGTGAATAATAGAATGTGAGCATACACATAAAGTCTCAAAACAAATCTGAAGCACACTTAGCAAAGGATAATTTCATATCAAAGGTCACCATCTCGAAAACAGTGACATCAGTAGTACCACTATATCACATGTCCTGTTTCAGAGACTTGTGTCCACCTCTGATTAGTCGAACCTCACCCCCTTCACAATCCGCCGGAAACTTCTGAACATTTTTACAAATTATGTACTAATCCAGAAGATCTGATTGAAATGGTACTGACAAGTTTTCTCTCTATTCAACGGAAATTGCAGAAAGTCCATCCCATCATACCACCCACCTGTAGTGATTGTTACCGCTTCAGACTCATTGCTAGTCTTGTCTCCGGTCATGGCCTTGATGCGGACATTATACCGATGTCCGGGATGCAGTCCAGTCAGATTGAAGGAGGTGCCCGCTGTGCCCTGGACGGTGCTTGTTCCACTGTTCAGCTGATCGGTGTACACTATCTGGTGGGATTCCTGGGTACTGTTGTACCCTTCATCCCAAGTCAGGTCAACCCATGTCGTCCCGACTGATGTGGATGCAACATTCACAGGAGGCAGAGGAACTAGCAAAGGAAAATGACGGCAATAAGAACAGTGTTCAGTCTGGTCAGTTAAACAGTAAAAGCGACAAGAGAGTGTCGAAAAGGAAAAACTGACGGCCAATTCAAAAGGGGCTTAGTTAGTAGTATTGGGAATTGGTTCAAATCTCATAATTGATGATTGGCTCATTACCACCGATCAATCATCGAAAATAATTGGTTAGCGTCATTTATGTAATTTGTTAATGCACAAAAAAATAAGGAAAAAAAACGTAGTTATTTTGGGCAAAATTTCACATCTTTAAAGGATGACTAGTATGTTAGGAACATAAATTTCTTGGTGTCTTTAAGATAGATTCAATCATGACTTGGAACGAGCTTATAGTGCTTATAAAATGTAACAGACAAAACCAACCTTGTGAAAGGTATTGTTGATGAAAACAAGTGTTCCAGAATTGTTTGTGTTCGATTATGAGAAAACATGATCGATTGCTTAGTCGTTTAGTCACTGCGACCAATCTTCGATTATTTCAATTAATCGGATCACCACTATTAGTTAGGTCTAAAAACAGTGCTGGCACAAACCTGAATCGCAGTGATACGGGACAATGAAACCAATACAACAATCCTACTTCCTCAGCTCTATGCTGGAGGATAAAAGCAACAGTCTCTTAAGTGGGTTGAGATGAAATGTGGGTTAACATCATATTGCATGATTACTGAACTGTCACAGCCATGTGCATGTACGTAAGTTTGAGTCTGCTTGGACTTGACTGATGCCAGTATTATAGTGCTAGCCCAATGAATGATAACGCCTCAGTTTAATACAAATGTCGTCTCAGACACAGTATACTGACTTCAGGTTGACCACGCCTTGATATACCCTAAGTGTGTGATATACGGCACATTGTGATTCAGTGATCATTGTTTAACCAACTCTGTTAGGTTAACCCCCTCTTCAAAACATATACAAAACTGGAAAGATGGTGAGTGATCTATATATATGCCAACAGGCTAAAAAGTAGGCTCAACAAAACAGACACGAAACTCTCTCTTGTCTCAATTGTAGAGTTATACAAAGTCATCTAGACTCTAAAAAATATTTCACATAAAATACAAAGAGCTCTCAATACAGATAAGTGGGCATCCTTTGATATGATTTATGACTGCCTCTATCAAGAACATACTTGTGTTGACGCTCTTGATGAAAATCCTGCCATCGCTGCTGTTGCTGTTGCGGAAGATGTATATGGTGTAGTTGACACCGGGGTAGAGGTTGGTTATTGTGTGCTCTATGTGCGAATGGTTGAAGGGGTGGTGGAAGTAGAGGTCAGTGATGAAGATGCCGCCTGTTCGGTGGTGTTTCAGCATATACTGTGTGTCGTTGACCAAGTTCACGATGTCCCATCTCACAGTTACTGTGGACTCGGTGGAGGAGATGCCTGCAGTGAAGTTGGCCAGAATCTCCGCCCTCGACACCTGGAACAAATCACCAATAATATACAGGTGCCCTTGAAAACATATAAGCATCAATCATTATGACATTATAAGTTGTTCACTGGTCTCGAGGGGAACATGGAATGATGTACCCTCGATTGTTTGTTTATGTTCCTTGAGCCCAAAGTGAGAGGGCAACATAAAGAAACATCGATGTACATCAACTCATGGGCCCCGAGGGACTAGTGAACAACGTATTTATCTTACCGAACACCCCAATGGTAACTTTGAACTGTATCGGCACGGGTATCGGCTCATAGTATGGAGTACCAGACGATAGGACGACAAGAAAAACATATTTAGAGTTATCTCCCTTCCATCGATTTGCATTCGCAAAACATCGGTAATTTCCGTACATCATACGTGATTCATTGTTATTCGAGATAAAGAATTACTACTATGAAGTACCAAATGAGTTCGGCTTTCCCAGCGGGGTACACAGAAACTGTTACTCGCTTGTAAATGGGGTACATTGAAAATAATAGAAGAGCTCTTAGCCAATCAGAAAAAGACATTTATGTGTGAGGCAAGATAATAATATATCAGCTGGTGAGTATTTCTTACCCATGTCAATATCCTGCAGATACTGGTAGACATGGTAGATGAAAGGTTCCCATAATAAGCTAAACCAATTGTATATCTTTGCAGACTTTCTCAGCAAATATGTTCATAGCGAATGGCAAATTCTTACAGACTTTTGAAAACAACTAAATCAATGAACAACATGTAAAAATTCACTTCAAGGTATTATTTAAAGCTTGAGTAACAATCATGTTAATGAATGTAACACTTTTTCATAGTTTTTGCCTTTTTGGTATGTTTCAATATATACCTAACATTACGTGTCTGGTCTTTAACATAATTTTCTAAAAGATGCTGAACAAAGTGTACATTTCTTCATGAATAACTGATACCATATCTTGCAGTCAGAATGTTCTGGCTGTCAGTCAATAGTTCGACACTGTCAGTGTTACAATGCAGGCCTACTATAATCTTCTTAAACTACAACACCACTGCCTAATATTAATTTTATCAAGCATAAAATGCTGCCACGGACCCTTTTGTACATGGAAGAGTGAGTGAGTGAGTTTAGCTTTACGCTACTTTTAGCAATATTCCAGCAATACCACTGCGGGGGACACCAGAAATGAGCTACACATATTGAAACGAAGTGGGGAATCGAACCCGGGTCTTCGGCGTGACGAGCGAACGTTTTAACCACTAGGCTACCCAACCCCTTTACACGGAAGAATTATTTTGTTCACATATCAGTCTATAAGTGACGACATGTATGAAATATTTAACAGTTAAGGTCTGACCTATTTGTACAGTGGAGCAGCCATGACATGTCCCTTGTAGTCATGACTCACTGGGGGAGATGGGCATTACCAACTGGTGAAACTTTGGCTCGAGTTGAAAAACATGTCATCAAACAGTAACTTCAAGCCAATTCCTCATCTTTGAGGATTTGCCCCTGACGGCAACACACAGCAGGCTGTGTAAAGCCAGTGTCTGTCATCAAGGTCACGGCTGGTGCGAGTCTGTTTGAACGGTCCGCTCAACAAATGTGTTTGCGATATCCTTGACCATGTGTCGCCCTCTCATCAATGCAGGAGATATTAACACTCCTAAACTGCAGTTGCTGGTTCACTGTAATATTTTGCATCACTTCAAAAAGTTGACAAATATGGACTAAGAAAACTGTGATATTGTTTCATCAAACGATGCTTGTTAACTTTCCATGTAGGGTGTAAAAGTTGGATGTTTATTTGGCTATGTTCTCAACATGTTCCAGTATGTTTTTCTATAAGCATTGATCTGATAATTCTTTCACCATATTTTGATTCACTCAGTCAGAGGTGAAACATATTTTCAGGAAAACAATGACTATAAATCAGGGGTGAAAATAACCCATTGCCCGACGTCCGTGTCCATTGTTTTTTTTCTGTCGGACAAGCAAATTTGTATATCACACTGTACCAGTGTCCAGTTGACTCTCCAATGTTAATTATGTTGTTTATTTAAAAAATCAGCAAGAAAACGGTCAGTATAGTGGAAAAATTATCAGGGCAAGTGACTTTACATGTGCCACTGTACAGAGTACACTATCAATTTTGAAGTTATTTCCACCCTTGTGAATAGAAACACACATGTGCATACAGGGATTTCTTTAGGTTCCCCAAGTGCACTCAATGGCAGGCAATCTTGGAGAATTCAAATTAGGACAAGTTTTAATGTTGTGTTCAATGCATTGGTGTAAACCTGAGCACTATACACATTATTAGTCTTGACCTGAGAGAAATACAAGTCACCTCTACAAACCAACACTATTTGACAGGGAACTACATGGACTGGAAAATGTTTATTTCCGATTTGAGAATTTGAACTGAGTCTGGCCACAGACTGGGGTCGGAATATCTGAGGTCTCAGTGGCGGATCCAGTCCCCTCAAAAATTTATGCCTGTGGAGCATTTCCCCCTAACCTTTGGACTTCATGTTTTGTGTACCTCTCCTTCTTCAAAATCCACCCCTGGGTCTACATAAACCGTGTATTATATCTGTGGTGACCACATGGCATGCACTAAGTGGCTGATTGTGTTTTCATAAAAATAAATGAAACATGCAATGGTGAAAAAATATACAGCTCATCAGGTGATGCTTATATTATTCATAGAAGTACCTCCCTTATTTCACATTAAAAAAAAGATGTTCAACATCCAACATGAGATGTAGCGTGTGCTTGTTACAAGATCGCTCTGATCAAACTGATAAATATAACATCAGAACCACACCTGGAAATCCGCAGTGAATTCCAGCTACAGATTAAATCTTAATTTCCTGAAGTTGTTTCACAGAACAGATGGTGCAGGAAAATGGTAATTTCTCCCCATGAATAAGTAATGAATAACTGGTATTCATAAAAACACCTCAACAACTCATTCAGTGATAAACCCTTATCCAGGAGTCCATACTGATAATCCCTTCAACCCGAATATATCTGTTACACAATTCCCCAATCTGAAGCAAATCTAAATTTTCCTCAGGTTCTGGAATCTGTACCTCCGATCTCACTGGCACTCCCATTTCAAAGTAAAAAGCTTTGAATATTTGTTTCTATCAAAAATATACATTTCCTGAGAACAAGGGTTAGTGTTCCGATGTTTCATTAATAAATGAAAGTGATGTTAATAATGGAACAAAAATATCTTCTATATGTGTTTATCACAGAACATGACAGCTGTCACTTTCAGGGAGACATTGTTGACCTGCTATGATTCCAAACAGCTCTTAAATTTTCCAAACTTACAATTCCTGGATAAATAAATTTGTGGTGGGTTATATGCCCCTTTGTATATATCCTGTATATATGTAAACATTCAGGAGAGTAAGAAAGCCAGGTTTCCAAACAATTCCACTGACCATATAAGGATTTCCTTTTTGAATTGCATATTACCTGCCCAAATGTTTATATAAGAAGACATATGACCAAAAAAAACAAGTTTGAAAAAATTTCCACTCACTGTATTTTTCACATGTTTAATGATAATACCAAATCAATTTATTTTCTATTCTGTATCTTAACAGGTTAGCTGAGAAAATCCTTAAACACTGTTAAAATAAGGAAACAAGTTTGTCTGAACTTAGATTTATCAAAAGAACAAACATACATTCTCTCCTGCATCCTGTAAATCTGCTCTAAGTATGGCTGTGGACAGACACAGACAACAGATCCCAGACAACATGGAGCCAGCACAATCTGTAGCAGGACCTCCACTGGCAAGCAATTAATACCCAGGCTTCCACATTGTCACCCTCAACTCACAATCAACTTTTTAATCCTTTCTCTCCCATTTGTAAAAATCCCACAATCATTATTCAGGTGTTGACTCTCTTTTCTATGCCAGGTCATAGCACCTAGAGCACTTCAAGAACATTTCACCTGATGCCAAAAACACAACACAAACATTGTCTCAACTATATAAACATACAATACAAACATCCAAATTATCACAACCTTACATACTTAGGGCTATATTAATAGTTTAATGTCTTCCACTTAATGTGCTTCAAGACCTCCTACGGTAACTCAGTCAATTATACAACAAGCCTCTTCAAGGGAAACATAAACAAGCATGTTTTCCTTCCAACCTACAAGTAATTCCTGTGTGTTTGCCCCTCTATTGTTCTATTTGAAGCAAGGGTCCAGTGGTCAGTTCTCATTGCCCTTTCCTCAACTGAGATGAAATTCATACTTGGCATCCCACCTGGCAATGCTGTGGAAACTCAGGCTGGCACACACTTCAAGCAGTCAGGAAGCCATGGCTTAAAGTCAGTAAGTCATGGGGCAAGTCATTAGCTGCATTGTGCAACTCCGATAACAGATCTTAGCATAAGAACTGTGTGCCAATGGGTATGTAACTGGAGAGGTCAGCGACATTGTGCCAGGGGTCAACTATGCGTCTGGATGAGTGTGTGTTTCTCCTGACCCACTGACACAGTGAAAGCTGGAATACATTCCCATTGGTGTACACTGTTTGACATTAGACAGCATGGTTGTCAGTAGGTCACTGATGGTCAACCATGTCGTGCCACAGCTACAGTCATAATGCTGCAAGCCATACACCCAACTGGAGACACATCACCTGTATGGTAACTGAATTTGACAAGTGATACATATTCCTAAAATAATAAATAAATAAACAGTAATTCAAATGCAGGTTCTCAACCACTGACAAAGCTTTTCCGACAGTGAAACATTTTGCATAGGTGACAGAAAATCCCATTACAGTGTATTTTCTGGTGTCACTGTCATGAGGTCATTATGAAGCACAGATAGAGCTATTCAGAAGTGTTTATTGTGTCACATCCCACTGGACATTACCAAGAGTCAGTCATAGTCATAACAGTAACGTATTGAACTTTTGCACATGTTATGTATACAACCTATAAATATCATGAACGTGTAAATGTAACATCTGTGA